ATTATTATTATTATTATTATTATTATTATTATTATTATTATAAATTGATTATATTATTAAATGGAATGTTTTAAAGCATTATCGTCCTCAGACGAACACAATGAATGTTTAGGAGTTGCTCCAGTGTTGTTGAATCGTAAATGTGGGTCAGTTTGAAGGACTTTCGGAGAGTTGCTCTATTTTTGTACCGTGTGGTTTTTGCGGTGAATTGAGTAACGCTGTGGTTTGTTTACAAGATGCTTGTTTATTGCTTTCTCTTTCTGTCTCTGAATTATCACTGTGTGATATAGTCTACATCAGGAAAAAATAATACTAATGTGAAACGAAACGAATGGCCCTTTTTCTTTCTTTGTCTCTTGTGTGCGCTGTAATTGCGTCCTGGTTTTGTTCTTTGCGTTCGGTAAATGTCAAGCACTCTCTGATTTTCGTAAGGGCCACTTTTGTTCTCCGATGTTCCAGTGTTACCATGGTGATCCATGATTCACTGAGAAATTATGGGTTGTAGTCAATCATACAGTTTTGACAATCTAATTAGAGCACAGACACACACACACACTCTCTCACACACACACACACACACACACACACACACACACACACACACACTGTGTACACACTCTCTCTCTCACACACACACACACACACACACACACACACAGTATGTGTATTATAAAAGGGTAGTTCAACCAAAAATGAAAATGATCTACCCTTTACTCTATTTACTTTCCCTCATGTCATTAAACTTTTCTTCTGTGGAACACAAAAGGAGACGTTTAGCTGAATGTTCATGCTGCACTTTTCCATACATTGAGCAAATGAGCGTCAGACTTCAAAAGGCACCTCACAGTATGAGAATACTTTCAGTGCATAATATATTAAACCAATATAGGTCATTATTAGCTGAAACTCCTCAAATCTCATTTGCGCTCACATGTTCAAATACACTGCATGTCTGCATTAGCATGCACTGCATCAGTTTGCCAAGTGTAAGTAAATAAAAATGTAAAAGATTTACTTTTTTTTTGTTTTGTTTTTTTGCATTAAGAAATATTTATTGTAAGCATTGTAGCATGAAAACAAATTTTGTAACCTGACTAAACTGCTTTTGACTTTTTTTTTTTTTTAAGCCAATCAGTGTTAAAAATAATTTCTTAACTTAAATAAAGCTAAATAAAATATAAATATTACTTGAAGAGCTATATATATATATATTTTTTATAATAACTCACTAACTTAAACGACAAAAAAAAAAAATATATATATATTTTTTATAATAACTCGGGGGGGGAATTCACACTCAAAGCCTTTTCTGAAAAGATGGACATGTGAGAATCAAAGATCTGGGCTCAGTCGTCTCACACTGAATGGATTCTGTTGCATTTGCTGTAAATAATGTCCAAATGCCAGACTGCACCTACATCACTTCCCCCTACAGCCCAGCCACTTCCTGTCTCATGCAGTGTTTCCATAGCAACAGCAGTCGTACAGAGAGACACGGCTGCTCGTTTGCAGACAAGATTATTACCGACCAAAGATGTCTTGCATTTGATTTTAAGAGTGATATTTGTCTTGATTTCACTTTTTTTTTTTTTTTTTAGTGGCCTGAATTATTGTAGCTGATAGGTCAGTGTCTAAATATTACAGTTATTAAACACAAATACAAACACCATCATGGTGACACAACACTAAAATAATGCAAGAAACTCCTTTAACAACAAAACCCTAATGTGCATAAATGATCAAATCTAAGAAACGGTTATTTCAAAATGTGAAGTTTTTCACTGTAAATTATAGGATGACATTGTTTTTCACAAAACTGTACATTTAACAGAATATGCTGTTTGATTGTATAAGAAACGGTTATTTCAAAATGTGAAGTTTTTCACTGTAAATTATAAGATGACATTGTTTTTCACAAAACTGTACATTTAACAGAATATGCTGTTTGATTGTATAAAAAATCTCATTTTTTAAAAAACAGATTATGCTGATTTAATACAATTTTCATCGTATATCCCATACAATTTTTAATGGCTGAAATATATTTTAAATATGTGCTGCTAAATATATGTTGTAAACAGTGAAGCTCAATTAAATATATTTTTGAAACTGAAAATACATTTAATTTCCACCTTCATATACCAAAATATATTTCAGGGGCGATTCAAAACATTTCTAATCTTACATTGGCCTCCATTTGGTCTAAATGCAAATGTGGATGGAATTATTATTATTATTATTAATTCATTCCTTTTTCCCAAAAATATGCAAAACATATATTGGTATAAAATAATAATAATATGTTTTGAAACAAATATCCTTTTTGAAATATATTTTAAAATATTTTTTTTGCTTCTTAAGAAAACATCTAAAGTCTTTGAAATGTTATCATGTTGCTACATAGTTGCTATAGTGTTCTCTGTGGTTTGAACACCATAGCAACGCACTGAAAACACCTTAGCAACCGCATTCTATGGTCCATACGGTTGTGTGACTGTAGTGAGTTCAGCTGGTGTGTTTTCTGCGGTTTTGTTTCTGGTTGATGATCAAAAGCGTCTCTCTGGGAGTCGTTTATGTAACGCTCTGATGCTCCATTTGCCAACAGCCGCTTAGTCTGATTATGATTCATCTCGTGGACTCCATTTCAAACACAACAATAGTGTTCTCTGTGGTTTGAACACCATAGCAACGCACTGAAAACACCTTAGCAACCGCATTCTATGGTCCATACGGTTGTGTGACTGTAGTGAGTTCAGCTGGTGTGTTTTCTGCGGTTTTGTTTCTGGTTGATTATCAAAAGCGTCTCTCTGGGAGTCGTTTATGTAACGCTCTGATGCTCCATTTGCCAACAGCCGCTTAGTTTGATTATGATTCATCTCGTGGAATCCATTTCAAACACAACAAGTGTCGTACTGTTTTTCAGTTTCATCCTCCATTCCTACACTTCAGAAAAAAATGTGTTTTCAAATCGGTTTTTATGTATATTTAAAAATTAAGCATTTTCAAAATTTGGCGAAATTTGTACCAATATATTTTTGAAAAATATATTAAAAAAAATTACATTTTTTAAAAAGCATTTAAATATATATTTTGCCCTCCATATATTTCGATGCAAGAAAACAGATTCACTTATGTCACATTTGAAGAAAAATCAAGGAACATACTTCACAACAATGTTCCAAAAATGAAAGAAATTTATAAATGATTTAATCAATGAACTACTATATATATATATATATAATGTATGTTAATAATGTTGTTATATATGCATAATAATACTAATACTAATATATATTAGTATTATGCATATATAAGATCATTATATATCTTGCCCCTGAAATATATTTTAGTATATGACGTTTGAAACTGTTGTATTACATTACGTATTTATATAGAAATATATAAAAATTTCGACAATATACATTTAATTTCTAATAATTTATATAATTTTTTTTCCCCCCTGAAATTATTTTTGTATTACTCTT